CTGACGCGGAGCTGCTCCGTTTGGCCGTGCGCGTCGACAGGCGACTGACGCCCCGGCTGACGCCCCGGTGATGGATGGTCCAGCCGCAGCATCAGGTTCACCTCATCTGGTCAATCGGTTCGTACGATCCGGATGCACAGCGGGCGGCGGCGGCGGGCCGCGCGAGCAGCAACACCGCCAGGCCAGCCCAGCGCCGTGATGAGGTTTTGAGCGAGCGTGCGTCGCGGTAGCGAGCGAGCGCCTCACGACGACGCGACGCCTCTGCGGACCTAGAGGAGGACGCTCCCCAAGGGCCGAGGCGAGGCCCCCGCTGCCCCGTGTCCCCCACCGGGCTATTTTTACCAGCGGGAGACATGTGCCTCCCGCACAGACGGCGGGGCCCTGCCCAGCCCTGCGCCGGCGACGACCCTTCGCCGCGCGTCGCTCGCTCGCTCCTCTGTCCTGGACCGAAGCACTAAATATACACCAACACACACACCAAGACTGCTCATGGGAGTTGCTTGACCCCTCTTCACGGGGGCCCGCTTCTGTCGCCGCAGATGTTCCTCACTCGTGGGGAGGAAGAGACGCGGGTGGCGGAGGTGCGGGGCAGGGCAAAGACAGAGAGAGGAAGGGTTCGTGGAGGGCGGCGTCGGCGTCCTGCGACGACCGCCACGCCGCCGCCGCGCCGCCCGGTGAGCTCCAGAACATGACCCTGCCTAACTGGCGAGAACGGCGGCGGTGGCGGCGGGAGGCACAGGCACACCACATGTGCGCCGTTCATCTTGAGCCGCGATGGGTGGGTGTCAGTGTAAGTGCATGCGGCCAGGAGGGGGAAGGGCCTAAGAAGGGCTCCCCCGCTGCCCCCTCGGGGGACCCAGAGGGGGACACAAATACCACAACGGCAAGCGCGCGGGCTGCTGGCCGCCTCGGTGTCATCGTTCGGCGGCGGGGCAGGCGACGACGGTCGCTACACGGCGGGGCATAGGCCACCCGCACCACGACGGCACTTACCCCCAGGGCAGCTGCAGCAGTGTGCCCATAATACAGTTTTTAAGTTTAACGACTTACGCCGTGTTCTTTCTCGAACCACGTCAACGAGAACCATTTTCCCCTCTCCCGCTCATCTGGAATTTTTCATTTTCCTAGTCCAGCTTCCTCCTTCACCGCCGCCGCACAGGAGCGCCCCACATGTCGGCCAGGAGCAGTTGTGTTTACGGGACTACGCTAGACCAAATGCCCCTGCCCTAGGCCCCCGTAGGACGGCCTCCGTAGGCCGCCGAACGATGCGCCCTCGCGAAGCGAATGTGTGTCTGTTTAGTCTAGAGGGCCTGGCCGGCCTAATGGGCGCGAGAGAGAGGGAGGAGGGGAGGGACAGACTTCCGGACACCGAAAGGCTTTTCGCTCTCACAGCACG